TTTTCCTTATGGTCTTTCCCTATTTTCCTGTAGTTTAGGTAATAAAGTGTTCTTTATGTTTAAGTTGGAGCCTGTTTTGCTTATTCCTGGTCACATCTCACAGCAGACACCAGGGTGAGGGCATTTTCATGGGGGGCACTGGCTCTGTGCCAGGCTCAACCATGACAGATGTGCACTTAAATCTCTTAGCAAACCAGCAGAGCTTTGGACATTAGTTTGAGTTTTCTCTTTGCTGTGGAAACCTTTTAACTGAGTCAGACCTGATTACCATTTCCTTAACAAGTCACTCATCTTATTTCACATTAAAAAGGCACCAGAGTAACCTTTAGCCAAGTCTCTAGCCTACATAAACAGCACAGATGTGAGAATGCTGCAGAGGAAACAGAAGAGATACCAATTACACTGCTCTGGGAACCTTCTGTTCCAGCAATTATGTAGCGATGCTGCAGAGACTCACTAACGGCACCACATAAATTTTATCTTACATTCAGCTGCCAAGATGCATATCTTCAGTGCAACAGGAGAGAAGTTTCGTATTTCATTGTGTTACAATTACCTTTAATTACATCACTATCAGTTTCAACACCGTGAAATGGAATCAAAGTTTATGGCCACACACATGTAGGAGATGTGAACCATGTCATACCTCCTCTGCGTGATCTTCAAGGAAAAAAAAATCAGATTAAACTCCTCAGTGTCATCTAGCATTAAAAATTAATTAAAATATACAACATGGATCACAAAGACAGCACAGAAAACCTTAAGTTTAGAGATCAAGGAACGTCTTCACACTATCCATCTGTTGTTACAAGGAAAATTTGTTCAGTGCATTGGGATTTACTTTTAAAGGCTCAAACTGTCACTGAAGTTTGATCCATTTTGATCTTGGGATCGTTTGAGTATCTCAGCGATCAAGATGCATGTTTACATAGTTGCTTTATAATTGATGAAATCTGAACCACAAGCTTGACATGGTGATATTTACACTCTAATTGTAGGGATAACTCAGCTGGGGCTCTCTTGCATTGTCTGGAGCAGCTTCATGCTACAAGTGGCAAGCAAGCAAAAGCCTGCTGAATTATAAAATCAAAACAGTGGCTGCAGGACTAAACAGTGCTAGTTTTATTCAGACTTTCCCCCTGGAATCAGTCTTCTACCCTGACAGCATTTACTTTCCTAAGTTTGCTGTGTAATGTGGTGTTTTAGCAGAACTTGGGTCAGGTTTGTGTCAAAGCAGGAACCGTGTTGGTTGGGTTTAGTTAATCTAAGTGCATCCTGCCAGTTCAGGTTATGCAGGGGTTATGCATCTGAACATATCTAGAAAATACCTCAATTCAGAGGTATCTGCAGACTCAGGTTACATAAGACTTTTCCTGTGAGTCATTTCAGAGGAAATGAAAAAGTACCACCACATTCCTGAAGGGAAGGTGCTGATCCTTTGAGTAAATCCAATGTGCGATGTTATTCTCAGAGAAAGCAAAATACACCATTCAAAATTAAATTAAGGACTTGGGTTACTGTTGCAGTAATTTCTTTGTACTGTTACTACTGCTTATTGTTGCTTGTCCCAGCTCTGTGCCCTGCCCAGCGTTGCTGCCTGCACTGGTGGTGAGATGCAGAGGGTGCTGGCCTCAGCTCCACAGCCCTGGGAGCTGAGTGCCTAGGGGCAGGTTCTGTGGAAATTAGCCAGTTGTTTTTTATCAGAGCTGTTGCTGCCTTTAGGGATGGTTCTGCCATTGTAACCTGCTCCAGTTTTGCCTCACGCCTGCCTGGGAATGCCTTTGGCATGGAGAGGGACTTCTTGGTGGAATCCCTAAATCTGCACCAAGTCAGCGAAGGAAGTGCTGGTGCAGTTTAGGATGGGGATTGGTCTGTGGTGATGCAGTAGACCAAGTCCAAAGACACTGGTTCAAGTCTAGTTGATGTTTTACAATTTAGAACTGAGATAAATGTGAGTGATTTAGGGAGGTGCAGGGTTTATGATCTCTTTATGTGCACACATTCCCATTTCTGCCAAGACGAGAACAAGTATGAAACAAAATACCTCTTCCAGTTCTTGTGGCAGAAAGAGGCCTCCCTTCATTCTTCCTCATCAGCAATGGCATTTTATATGATGTGAGTTTTACAGGACACTCCTTGTATAGCTGGAGGTGAGTGTGCAGCTTCAGACACCTTGCAGTTTGTAATTCAGTCATATCTCACATCCACTAATGAATATTTTGCATGAGTTCCGGTCCATTTGGTATAGCTGAGAAAAGAAAATGTGGCTGAAAGCTGCTGAAATAGTCAGAAAGGTTCCAGACATATATAAGACTTTATTTTCCTTTTGAGGTAGAGGAATACAATGCCTGAACTGGTGAATAAGAGATTATAAAGATCAAAACTTTATATATTATTGGTTTGCATAAAACCAGCAAATTACTTTATTTTTCCCGAAGAACCTCAAGGAATTTGCTGCTCTTGTTCTGTTGGAGAAGTGTTAACCTCAAATTTCTGCAATGGAGAGGGAACAGAAACCTATTATTGTAATGATGTCCCATGTATGGTACTTGGAATTCTAATGGAACTGTTTAAACCGACAATTGCAGAGAAATTATGCAATACTGTATATCAAGTCTAACTTAATGTGGAACAAATGGAGTGAATTACATGAAAAATACAACTGAAACAGTAACTCAGTTATATGTGCATAGGCACATAGTTGTGATGTACTAGTCCCAAAGATTTTAGTAAAAACCGATTGGGTTATGTCAGAAAGAAGATCAGAGAATTCTGAAATACAGAGCAGTGGTTGTAGCATCCTTGCCTGGACTCTGGATTAATGACTTCCTCACACTTCAAAGTGTTAGCATGGATGTTTAGAATTTCTTGTAAATGTTTCATTTAATGCAGTTTAAGTCCTGAGCTTTCTGAAATGAGATCTGTTGAAAAGCACAAACTCCTTCACCTACTAAATGCATACATGCAAATTTGTATCCACTATTAGTTTTCCCTTCCACTGGTATTTAGAACAAATCTCTGTCCATTTGCTTTCAGGGATTTTGTTGGCTGCCAAGACCTAGAACTTTTCCATTTTTGAAGTCTTATTTTACCTAGAAAGATTTGAACTTGTAAAAGCAACGAGGGGAAGGGCCATGAACATGGCCAGAAGGCTGGACTGAGAATTGGGCTTGTTCGGTGTGGAGAAGGCTCCATGGAGATCTTGCTGAGGCCTTTCAGTGCTTGAAGGAGACTTACAAGAAAGATGGATAGAAAGATTTTACTGAGGCCTGTAGTGACAGGACAAGAGGCAGCAGCTTTAAGTTGGATTTAGATTGGATATATGAAATTATTTTTTTTTCCTGCAAGGATGCTGAGGCATGGCACAGGTTGCCCAGAGAAGCTGTGGATGCAGGTGTCCCTTTGAGGGAGCTTTTAGGATCCCTTCCAACTCCAGCCGTTGGACTTGATGAAAATATGAGCTGTAAAGACAGCTAAAATAGATGTTTGTAATTACTGCTGCTTTTTTGAGTTTTCTCTGAAGCGCGTTGCAAACACCATAATTAATTGGATTTCAAACATTAAAATGCTTCAGTTGAGCAGCACGGGGGGTATGTGTGGCACAAACAGGTGGCTGCCTGAGGCAGGGGATTGTTTAATTGTTGTGGGCTGTGAGGCATCTGCATAAACACAGATTAGTCAGATCTAGCTGGAAGCAGGAGTCATCCTTTCGGCTGGAACTTCCTGTCACCAGTGCTTCACAAAATAAGGAAGATGTTCAAAGACAAGAAGTGGCACTACAGAGGTGTTATATTAGACTGACTGGTGTAGCCTGGTCCTTGGAGGCATTTGTTCTTATCACCACGCTGTGAAATCTGACCAAATTGGGTGCAGCAGACAACCTCCTCCCTGCAGAGTCAGCTTGTAGTCTGTCACGGAACGTGGGCACTGCAGCTCCAGACTGACACCAATTAGCACTTCTTGTCAGGAGATGTGTGCAGCCCCTGTGTGTGACTCAACCAGCAGAAGTGTTACTTAAGTGAGCCTGACACTCTTAGAAAAACAGGGCCAAAATCCAATTTTTTTAGCACAGTAGCTCATTGGTGCCAACTTCAGAGACTCTTATTTTTGCCTTAGACGGTGTCCTTTGAGAACAATATGTAATTTGAAATTATATAACTCCCTTTCCTTTACTCACCATTGGATCTTGGTTTTGATTTGTTTGTTTTTCCAGACTGGAACAAACGGATTGAATACAGGCCTGGCTCTGGCAGCATTCCCTTGTTTCCCAGCATCCACCTGGAGACGTGTGATGGACCAGTGTCCTCCATCCACACCACCATTGAGCTGCAGACCAATTACATCGGGAAGGGCTGTGATCGTGAAACCTACTCGGAGAAATCTCTGCAGAAATTATGTGGTATGGATATGGATTTCCCTTGACATAATAATGTTTTTGCAAACAAGGCACCAGCTCCTTGTGACCTGTAAGCATGCAGAACTTGGATTTAGCTCAGCTGGCTCACTTTGGATTGCAGCAATGAAAATGGAGAGACTGATGATATTTGACAGCTGCTCCATCCTTCTTTTCCATTTGTTTTCACTCCATACTTTCTCCCTACCTTCTTTTAATTTTTTATCCCTCCTGCTCTGATTCCCCTCTCAATTTTTCCTTCTTCCTCCTTCCATCTCTTTCCCCTTCTTTCTTCCCTCTGCTACAGATAGTGGTGTGACACTGTAGTGAGATTTCCAATGTAGATTTGCCATCACGGGAAGAACATAGGATTTGAAGGGAATTAAATCTCCCTGTTGTGTTTCAGTCCTCCTGACTCAGCTTTCTATTCTGCTGCTCAGTGCTGGGCCAGAGGACAAAGAAACAAAAAGTAAAATAATATTCTGGGCAAAAATATTTAAGAAACATAAACTTCAGATAAGAGCTGACCTGGTGGAGAAATATTTCCTAATTTTTTCCTCCCTTTCTGTGCTTTTTGATAACTTTGTGTAAAATGTAGAAGACAATTTTGAAAGGCAGGTTAAATACTTGAAGATATTTTTTTCAGATTTTAAGATTCTGTATCTGACAAAGCAATGGCCACACAATAATCCATTCATCTTTTGAGATCAGATGTCTCTCCGGCTCTGATGTCCTTAGAGTCCTCCTCTGAAGCCCTGATGGTGTAGACATTAATTCTCATCTTCCCTGTCTCTTTGCCTGGTTTCTGTCTGAACTACTGTAGTAATTGTGCAATTTTTTTTATTTAAATGTGTGGATTTTAGTTCTGGGTGGTCTGGTGTAGGGCTTGCCTTTGCTCTGATAACCACCCAGCAGTGCTGCAGGCGTGTTAAGATCAATACACTGACCTTTAGGAAATAACTTTTGTAAATGAAAAATTTCAGCCAGTGTTACTAAGTTATTAAAAATGGAGAAGCAATTTCCAGGGCAAAACGGTTGAGAGTTGCAATTACCAGTTATCAGTGGAGATGGAGAAAGGGAGGTAAAGGTGAATGGGAGTAGTAGCATTGTCATAAAATCTGAATGTTTTCAACTTCAAAATTGCTTAGTTAAGATCACAAAAACAATCATGACTTTGATTCTATGTCTTTATCCAGCTGCCTGCGCTCTAGAAGAGCAGCTGAAAATCCATCTGCCCCAATATGCATCTTAATCATGGTAATGATATTAAATCTGAGAGGCAGACCAAGGCTTGATTTCATAAAATACGAAAATTCTAATAAAAAGAAATATGTTAAATATTTATATAATAGCTTAATATATATAAATATTGTATATCAATTATATATAAATATTCTAGAAATAATATTTATATAATAGCTAAAGTCAAATACTTTTTTCCTCCTCTAAGAAGCTGAATTAGCAGCCAAAAGAACTTTGCTTTGTGCTGTTACAGACCTGAACTGCAAATGTTACAGTCGCTCAGTGCAGACCACTATGAACAAGACCTAAACCACAGAATTATTACCTTGAAATCAAACAATGATAGCAGCTATATCCAACAATATTATCATTTCGAGTGTAGGCTGAAAGGAGATAGCTTCAGGTGGTGTAAAAGTCCTTAGTCGAGGAAGGTTTTACAAACTCAGTTTGCAGAGTGTGGCTTGACTGCCTCACCTGTTGACACTGGAGTAGAAAAGAGAATTACAGGCAATTCTTGGGTCTGCAGGGCCATTGTGGTGGCTCTGAGCAGGGCACAGACACCCCTGCTGAACTTCAGCTCTCCTCATCCATAAAGGAAGAGAATGGAAAACACTTGAGAAAACAAGAATATAAGTGTGTATGTAAATAGGGGAGAAATTCTCACTGCTGAAAGGATTTTTCTTTTGGTCCAGGTTTTCCATATCTTCATAGCAAGCAGACATGGTAGAAACTTGTAACAGGACTTTGATGGAAAGGCTGTAAGTGACAATGTGCTTTACATGAGAATTGCATTTAGCCTGGCCTGCACTTTGCTACTTAGTAATTTTTACCATCCTTAATGTAGAGAGAAGTCTTATGAAGGCCACTTAAATTATTTCTGGAAATCCATTTTCTCCCAGAAGTTACCTTATTGCAACTAATATTTGGATGATAAAATCCTTTGAAATGCTGAAAACCCTGAATTTTTTTATACAGTGAAGCATGATGTGATAGCAGAGTGCAGAACTGAGCACTCATACAGCTCTACACCACATAAAATGCAAGGCTCTCTCTGTAAAAGTAAAGATCCAGTTTATAAGTCCTGTGCTCATTTCTTCATTTATCTGTTGGAAATCTGGAGAAGAAGGATGTTAAGGAGGGCAAATTAAAACTCATTTTTTATATGACGGAAGGTACAAGTCTGCTTTTCAATAACCCAGAGATTTGCATCCCTTGGACAGTCAAGGTGGGCAGCTTAAATGATTGAATTACACTTGAGTCATTTTAAAGGCAAGGAACTGTTAGTGTTGTGCCGCAAAGCATTTTAGAAAGCATTCCTTCACCTTGTTACCTGACAGTAATAAAAAGTACAGACTGTCTAAAAGACACCACTTAGACTGCAAAAACATATCAGAAAAAATCACACTAAAATAAATACAGGGTAAGGAGCCTCAAATATAGTGGAAAAACGGCTCTGGTGCTGTCTCCTTTCCCTCTAAATGCAGATAAAATAGAAAATAATGGGATTGCTAATTCTCCCATGTGGCAGATGGGAAACTGAGGCAGGGAAACGCTGTCAGCCTCAAGGCCCTGCTCCAGCCACAATCCTGCCCTGTCCATTATCCTGGCTGGTGCAGCATTGCAAGAGGCCCAAAGTTGTTCTGATCACAAAGAAGAGTTTGAGCTGGGTGTCATTTGGATCCTTTGTTTCCAGCTAAGCCAGCAGTCTGGTCCAGCTCAGTGAGCAGCATCACTGTGTGCTTATCCTGGCACAAAGTTTGGAGCCCAAATGTGCAGGATTGGGAGACAAGGTGGGGCCAAATCAAAAATAAATAAATCACTTGTGAAAATAAGCACTTGCATATGCAAGAGGTGCCTTAGGGGTCTTAGCTCAAAAATGAGCTTCATGCAACAGTTCCTACATCGTTCTGGAAGCATTTTGGAAGAAAAGGGCATCAGGCACTACATTGTGGAAGAGCACTGATCCCATGGCAAGGCTGTTCTGGGAACACCTCCAGAGAGATCCTGTTTGCATCTTCCAGGTCTGTCTCTGTACATGGCTGAGCACTCTGGTTGGATTTACTAGGATAGGAAAAGCATGGTTTATTCCAGCAAAATCTCCCAAGTACATAATCCAATGATTTTTCTCAGGACAGGATTAAAACATGTTACAGGATGAGATTCCAAACTTAGCCATAAATCTCCATGCAAATATAGGGAGATAAAGTAGAACCTGTTGAGCTTGGTGCTGGTTACACAAAATTCAGTGTCCTGTATTATCCAGAATTACAGTTTGTAAAATAAATACAGTTTGTCTCCATGCTCAAACTATGAACAGGTAGGTTTTAGGTTTGATATTCAAAATATCACTTCAAAATAGCCTATTTTACAGTAGTAAATTTTGGAGAAGAACCCAAGACATTCAGTTACAGAATAAGATAAATATTTCCAAATCATTGCTATAATAGAATTTTTTTTAAAGCCTCTATGAAACAATTCTACACACTTTTGGCTCAAATTTTTTTGCACTCCTGCAGAGATTTGGTATCTTTTATCTCTTCTTGGATGGTGAAGGAGGGCAGAACACCTTAGCAGGGGACTTTTATGCCATCACAGTTTGCTCACCATATTGTTACTTGACAAAGCAGCAATAGGAATACAAAGATTGTTCATGCTTTTTACTCTTGGAATCGTATTTCCTGCTCCAGGCTGTCTTTCACCAGTAGGTCCCTGCTCTGGGTAGCTCCTTGCATGGTTTTCATAGTGCCTGGCAGCTGTTATGCTGTAAGCAAACACAGAGCTGTGAAGAACTGTGCTGTTTTATCAGATCTTGGTACCACGGTGTTTTCCATCTCGGTCTCTCATTAAAGAACACCCAGAGTTCCAACCATCAAATATGTGCCAGAAAGCAGCACTGGAGTGATATTATCTGGTTGGGGTGAATCCCCCCACTGTGAATGGACATTCCTGCCAGGATTATTGGGGATATCCATGGCTGGCTGCTGGACACTGTGGGGCTGTCCTGCAATCATGCCCACTGTGCTGTATGTTACAGCACATCATCCCCACAAACCTTCCTGCTGTCAGGGAGGGAAGATAAATGCAGAAAATTTGTTTTGACTTAACAGACCTTGAAATAGCTGAAGAAATGTCATTAATAAATTTCAGAAAATAACATTTCTGAGAAAGAGAACTTTACATTATTTTCTATAGTTTTCTGTGCAGAACATTTAATCTAGAAAACTCTTGCTAGTTCATGATGATTGGTATTTTGTAATGTTTCAGTGATTTGGCATTGAGGCTGGTAGGACCATTTGGGTAGTAAAGTAGTCTAAAGAGTGTGAATCAGAACCCTAGCCTATATTAATCTTCACAGCTTTTTCACTGGTCTCTCATTGTGTTATTTATTGTGTGATTTGCAGGAGCTTCCTCAGGTGCCATTGACCTGTTACCATCTCCCAGTACAACAACCAACTGGACAGCTGGGCTCCTCATGGATAGCAATGACATGATTTTTAAATTTGATGGAAAGCAAGGAGCCAAAATCCCAGATGGAATAGTCCCAAAAAATTTAACTGATCAATTCACCATCACTCTGTGGATGAAACACGGACCTAGTCCTGGATTAAGAGCTGAGAAGGAAACTATTCTCTGCAACTCTGACAAGACAGGTGAGTCTGTGTAGGGAAAAAAATGTTATGCAAAGGGGATATCAACAGCAGTAGAGTGTTGCCATGTCTCCTCATTTAATTTGGCCTTAGAAAAAACTAATCTCAGATAGTGCCACTCCAAGCATTGCTGCCTTAAGAGCTTACTGAAGGACATAAATTTCAAACACAGCTGGGATAACACAGCTAGAGATTTCACAGGAATTGACTGATAGCATAACTAAATTATGTTTAATTCTTTTTCATTATTTAGATTTAAACACTTCTAATTCTTCACTGAAACAAGTTAGATAAAATACGTGTTTGAATTTCATTTATTAGCTAGGGCAGGATGATTCCATGAACAAAGCTGATATGGCACAATTCAAGAAGAGTCCTACTAATCCATGAAAAAGCTCAGTTCTGTGGGGTCTCTGTGCTGTGTCTGGGTGCTGTTGGTGTGTGAGGCACCAAGGGCTGTGTGTCCCCGCAGAGATGAACCGGCACCACTACGCGCTCTACGTGCACAACTGCCGCCTCGTGTTCCTGCTGCGCAAGGACTTCGACCAGGCTGACACCTTCCGCCCCGCCGAGTTCCACTGGAAGCTTGACCAGGTACCCCCCTCCTGCTTCCCGAGGTCATCCAGGACCTGTAAGAGCCAAAATGAGGGATGCGGGACTCCAGGCAGCTCTCCAAAATGCAGTTTATTGTATACAAAATGTAGTTTATTCCATCCCAGAGGTTACAGCAGCCCAGGGTGGTGGGCAACAGAGCTGCGCCTACAGCTGTCAGCTCCAGCTGCAGGCACGCCTGGAGTCCTGCATCCCTAAATCAGGCTCTTACTGATGGTGCCCAACGTTGAGTGCCACTGCAGCAGCCTAAATGAGAGATGCGGGACTCCAGGCAGCTCTCCAAAATGCAGTTTGTTCCATCCAAGAGGTTACAGCAGCCCATGGCTGTGGGTAAGAGAGCCTGTGCCTTCAGCTATCAGCTCCAGCTGCAGGCAGGCCTGGAGACCCTTTGGTTTTGGTTACAAATGCATTATATACTTTTCTTTGCTGAGCATCTTAATACAGTAGAACCAATCTATACCCTAACTATTACCTATAGCCTATCATAACTACTGTAATTACCATATTCACGTTACTGTTCTCCAATCACTAAAAGTTAGTATGTTACAGTTTAAGCTAGAAGTCGTTATTCAGTTTTCTTGCAGTGGAAAATTCTGAGACCTTTTTTCTACTTGCCACATCGGCAGGCTTGTTTGTTTGCCTGTGCTATCTTTCTGCTTGGTAAAAACATCTTGTTTGAGGTGGGTTTATCCTTTGTTCTGTCATAAAAAACCCTTCTAACTAACACACCCTTTACCTCCTTGGTTATCCAGTAAGATTGGCTCAGCAATTATTTTCTTCTATATCAAAACTTGCTTCCAACTCTATTCCTTCATCAGACTCTAAATTTAAAAATCTTTCTGCTAAGCACACATATCTGTGAGACTTCCTTGTCAAACTTTCATCCATCCCAACAAGGACCCTTCCTCCTCCTCAGCCCTTTAAGCAGCACAGGGAACCACCCAGATCCCACAGCAGCTGTCCAGAGTCTGTCCAGAGTCTGTCCGGAATCTCTTGGAATTACACTGCAACTTGCAAGTGTTTCAACTCTATTTAGGATCCACATAAAAAGAGACAAATAAGTTAACTTTGTCAAGTCATTTTATGACTAGTTTTTTGTTGTTTATTTTAACTGGGCCACTTTAAATGGTATAGAGCTTTATATCCTTTGGCAGTGGAGAGAGATGTGACATTGCATATAGTTCCCTAAATGTTTTCCATTTATAATTTTTAAAAAAATCTGCTTTATTTTTATTTATATATAAAATCTGCACAATGGGAGTGATGGAAACCTTTTTGCTAAAGAGTATGCTGATACACAGAAAGGCACTTCTATTATATTGTAAATCCTATCTGCAGACCTTTTCTTTTATCTGCTGTGCTGTATGTAATTTTGCCTTATTATTAAGTGTATATTGCAAGAAAATTATTATTAAAGAGATAAGTTGCCTTTCATAGGTTTGTTCATTCTAGGTAGGATAAGCATCATTTGGGTGAAAGAAGACAGACTTCAGAAAAGTACTATTTTTTCAAAGTAAATTTCTTCTTATCTTTGAGTCCAAAGTATGCTATGGAAAATGTAGCTATAGGAATGTTTACTTTTCTAATTCGCCTTGTAAATGTATATAAGAATGAGATCTCCATCGTGGTTATCAGATGAGTGTGGTAAGAAGGCCTGTGGTGGTCATGGCACTCGCTTTGCATTTAACACTAACCAGTCTGGAATCAGTTTGTGCTGTACTCAATAGGAAATCTTAGTGTCACAAAATAAATTGAAATTAAATCATATTGAATATTGCAAGTCAGGAGTAACTGGTATCATCTCAGATAAGGCTGTTGTGAGTGCTGAAGATGGAGTTGTATTTCTAAACTCGGTACTAAGCATCTAATTAATGATAATGCAAGGTTTTGGGAAGTATTTTGATTTTGAAAATTGAGTGCAGTCAACTTTTATATCCTTAAAATGAGAGAGAACCAGTGTCCTCTCAATAAATTAAATTTGTGTGTGACTCTTGTAACTTGGCCATGAACTTTCCTAACTACTACTGAAAAAACTCTTACATGATGTAAACTAGAGACAGAAAATATTTTTTAGGTCACTTGATTAATTGCCTTTCATTCGGCTGCTGTCAATTGATTTCCACAGTATATTTTCAGCTATTGTTTATAGATGAAAAAGAAAGTAAGATTAAAGTATAAATAAAGTTTGTTATGGGTTGTGTGCCCAGACTTCCATGAAGATGGATTTATATTGTCAAGGTGATACTGTTGTAAGTTTTGTCATGAAGGGACCTCATAAAAATTGCTGCTTTATCTCGTCTTCATGCTTCATCTGGCCTATATGGTAGAGTAAATTAAAAGAAACTGAAAATAAAACATATGTGAATAATGGGCCAGGAAGGAACTTGCATGGTTTTGAAGACAAGGCAGTGAGAAATTGTCACTATAATGTAGTAAATTGATGCCTTCTTCTAACTGTATACCCAGAGTGGTACATCTTAGAAAGCCCAGGATATTTTAAAACCACATCATAAAACCCAAGCTAGGGTCCTACTCAATATGAAAAAAAGCTGGACTAGACTTCCAGGAGTAGATTAATTTGATTATTTGCATATTTCGACACTGACATACCTCTGGAAATCTCACCTTCAAAACAGATCATTCTGCAGTGGCAAACCCTCTGATTCCCTGCTGCTGTTGTTGTTTTGCTAAGAAAAGCCTGGGAATGGAGCTGTGCCCAGCTGCTGTCCCTGTCCCCCACCTGCCCTGTGGGCCAGGGCTCTGCAGACAGCACAGGGCAGAAATTAATCTGCAAGAGCCTCCAGGGCTTGGTCCCAGCCACAGCCAGAGCAGAGGAAAATGTGGCACAGCACTTTATTGCTGAGCTCACTTTATGAACGCAACAATCCAGAGATTGTTTTTGCTGAGAGATGCCCAGTGACCTTGGAAGAGGGTGAAGCTTGAACTGGCGAAATCATTTATCACTCTCACTGCAGAACAGTAAAATTTATGATACCAGCTGCTCTGGGCTCTATCTACTCCATGAGACTCCTCATTCTTTCAGGGCACTGACTAGGTTTAATTTAATTGTCTAGATCTCATTTCTGTGCTGGGTGAGTTTGGCATACACCTTAGCTGCAGGCTCTGTCCTTGTCTGGGTAAAGGGATCCATGGAACATTTTACACAGCTGCACCTGAGCAGTGCATCTGCAGCCTCTCAACACTGTGACAACCTTGCACAAGCAGTGTGGGGAAACTCCAAATGACAGTATCTGCCAGGCCAGCTCTGGGAATATTGTGTCTTTAAGTCAGTTCATAAACCTAAGGATTTATTTCCAGTATGGCTTTCAGTTTATTTGTCCCTATTTGTTCCATTAATGGCCTTTGCTAGATGGATTTTTCACTTACTGCACTGCTCCATGACCTGAGAGAGCCACAGCCCTGGGCAGACGTGCCTGTATTAGTGACCTGCCAAAGGTGCTGATAATCAGAGCTATCAGACTTTTTGCTGAGGGTGTCCTTGTTATTTATAAGAAACATGGGAAGAAAGAAGTATGGATAGTTTGGGATTTTCCCCCCTTTCATCCTTGTGCAAATTAAGTGTCTTAGTTGTGAGAGAATCCATTAGCAGTAATCTGGGAGAAAAGGTATGGAAAGAGCAATGTTGAAGAAAATCAGTGTCAGATCTGTAACATTGGTAACAAAAACTGCAATAGATGCCCAGGTAGAGGAGATTCCTTCATTTTATTTCCATTTCTTTGTAAGCCCAGGTGTTTCCTTTGTTTCAGGATCATGACCTTTTTCCTGAATTTCCTGTTCAAAAGTTTAAATTGAATATCATTATGTGTTTGTCAACATTTATGTAATTTCTTTTCTCATACTTGAAGTATTGGATGCTTTTTAAACCCAAGAACTTATTACAAAAAGGACAGAAATGACTCTTAACAAAACAAAAAGTTTTGTTACCAAAGTCACTAAAAGGCATCTACATTATTATCTAATTATCTCAAATGAACATAGGTGTTATTTTAAGTGAATTAGTTAGGCAGCTAAATATGCATTTGGGACATCTAAGACTAACATATAAAATATTAAATCTGTTTCTTTGACTTGCTTAGTAAGCTGTGAACCAAACCAGAATTGCAGTTTGAATGATTAACCAAGTCACTCAAGCCTTTGGTGACAGTGGAATACATAACACTAAACAGGATGGTGTATTTCACACTGTTCTGAACAGGTATGACACTTTTCATACAAATATGAGGACAGCCAAAAGGTATTTTTTCTTCTCCTAAATCAACAGGATAACAACACTTTTTTTTAGTGGGAGAAGGTATCTGAGCCAGAGATGAGCAATTTTTTCATGTACTTTATTCACAGTGCAGCATTATTTTCAGGATCTTATCATTCTGCAAACAGCCTTCACCCCATAGGCAAAATTTATGTTGATCCCATTAAAAACAGGGAATCTAGTGCATGATGTGGAGTCATTCTAAGTCAGCAAAAACCAGATAAACATTAAGTACTGTTCCTTTACTAAGATGAGATAAATTGTTTAAATAATCTAGCATTAACCTGCAGTGCTTTTCATTGTGAAAAACCCCCAAAACAGTTCCTTTTCTAACAGGAGCTACAGGAGATGGTTTGGATAAGCCTAAGTGTGGTGATTTTGTCAGTGTGGGCACAGGGCTGCTGAAGGATCAAGGCAAGGCTTTGGTTTGCACTTCAGCCCTTCCATGGCCTCACACACACCAGGGGCCATGGCACTCAAGTGCTTCACTCCCAGCTCCTTTTTAACATCAGCACCTGCTCAAGGACATGTTACAGCAGGAACTGACTTTCGAAGGAATTTCTTACATGAGAAGAAGGTAAAGTGAAATTGATTTGGTATTTGAACTCTTTTTTTTTTTTTAATATAGTTAAATTGGATATTTCCATCAAACAGTAGGATTTACGCCTGGAAGTTGTTCTTTTTTTGCTGGATTGTTAGCCATTGTTTAGAA